CCGGGCCCGGCCCCGCCGCAGGGCAGCGGGCCTTGCCGGGCCCCCCGGGCTCCGTCCTCTGACTCCCCCTCTGCCCCCGCCACCGTTTCCCTGCCCAGGTGCCCGCCGAGAGCAGGAGCTGAAAACCACCCTGCAGGAGCTGGTCATCTACGTTGTTTTCCTGAGCGTCCTCTGCATATGTAAGTCATCAAACGACTGAGGTGGCCGTTTGCAGGTAATTCATGTGTCAGCTCTGCCTTTCCCAGGCTTTACTCCTCCTGTCTTGAGCCCAGAAGTGTCACTTCATTTTTTTTTCTGCCGGCCTTTTTCTGGCAGCGTGACGGAGCGGAGGAGCAGGGCTGGAAGCTGTTGCCATCCTGGGGTTTCATCCTGTGAGCATCCCCTCTCTGCCCCTTCTTTCCAGTGGCATTCGGCATGGTGAGCACGGACATGTACTACCTGAGCAAGGTCATGGCCCATGTCTTCCTGGAGCCCTCCTCTGGGGATGACAGGAGTGGTTTCAGGAGAATTGGGAGCAAAGATGATTTCTGGAAGGTAAGGCTTTCGTGGCAAAGGTGTTGTCTTGGAGAGCAAAGAAGTGAAGAAGCTGCCAGTGTTAAGTCAGAGCAATAAAGTCTTGCAGTTCTCCCAAAAGCCACGTGCCAGGTGTTGTGCTTCCAGCTGAAGAAAGGCAAATAACTTCTTAAAATGCACTTGGAGAAATTCTGGGAACAAACAGTAATATTGATACTTCTGAATAATCGATAAAAACAAGAGGCCAATTAATTGCTGCCTCATATCCCCAGTATTGGGCCTGGTCTGAAAAAGCATCAGTAACAACAGAAAGGTTTTAGGTTTACACTTGTTCTTACTTTCAGCTGTTAAAAATTATATAATTTCCCCTGGAACAGCCAGGAAAATACACCATCCTGATTTGCTGTTACATTACCTCATATTTCAGTGATGGTTACAAAACACTGATCTCTGCTTTCAATACTAAAAGGAGGAGTTCCCAGAATTGCCCTGACAGCAGAAGGCAGTTTCTCACTCTACTCTTCCTTAACAATGGAAATCCATTGTTAAAATTAGTTTGGAAGAATTGTACTCTCTCTTATCACAGTGTCTGTTACTGCTAGTCCATAAACCAGTGAGCCCTTGCTATAAATGTGTGCTGGTGTCCTAGCAATGGTTGCAGTACGTGCTCAGGTGGTGCTAGGCCATGGGAGCATGGTGTTTGGTAGCTGGAATTATGTTCTTCCCAAGTTTAATGCTCCTTATCTGCATCTAAGCAACACCCTGCCTTCAAAAATAGATACTTCTTCATTTAGATTCAGATTACTAAAAACCTCATCAGAAAAATCCCAGAACACATCTTCAGAGATTAAGATAACCAACAAATGTTAAGTAACATTAAACGTTAGTGTTTAAACATATTTGTTTAGAATTAAGCAGAATTTTTCAGTGAAATCCAAAACAGATCTATCTTGTAGTCTTACCCTGAATAATCCCATCTCTGATAGCATTGCACAGGGAATAGAACTAACTCATGGCAAAGAGATGTAAATATCTCACCAGACAGTGCACAGGTGGGAATTGTTTCTGTTCTAACTTAGACTTGGTAGCTGCAAGTAACCTGAGAACCCTGCAGAGATTTGTATGCTAGGAAGTGGGGTAACAGTGGCATTGAAACCTTCCTTTGATACTTCAACCTCATTTGCACACAGTTTGCAGAGGGAGCTCTGTTGGATGGACTGTACTGGGACAAATGGTACAACAACAGGACGTTAACTCTGCAGGGCAACAACAGCCAGATTTACTATGAGAACCTGCTGCTGGGAGCAGCCCGGCTCCGCCAGCTGAAAGTGCAGAACAACACCTGCTCCATCTACCCCTATTTCCACTCATTTTTAAGAGAGTGTTACAGCGAATACAGCTATCGAGTTGAAGACAGGTCTGACTTTGGACTAAAGAACACATCTGAGTAAGTCACCCCACTTCAGCACAGAAATATTTTTTGAAAACCTAACCCAGTCCTTTATGCCAGTGATCATCAGTTAGTAACAACCATGCATGCAATTAGCTGAGTTTCTCTCTTGTTTACATTGAGATAAACCATGAATTTGTTTTTGTGCCAACACTACAGACAGGAATTTGGCATGGGAAACCCAGAGTGGACAGACAGGAAGAACTGGGGACAGCAAGCCCAGTGCAGCAGAAGCACGTGTTAGTGGGCCTAACATCTCTGAAGAAATGCTCAATTATATGAGGCCTGAATTTAAATCACGTTTATAAATTGGAGTCATGCTAAAATACTCTGGAAACGGAGCCAAAACGTCTGCTTCACACACTTCATTTAGCATTAATTTAATGCAATGAGAGAACATGTGAACATGCCATGGTAAAAATGGAATATGTAAACGAGCGATATTCCATTTGCCTATAAAGGTTTCAAGGTAATAAACTGTCTGGCCCACATTGGGTGAAATCCAGATCTGTGAGCAACTGCTGGTTTGTGAATGTACTGAGTAGCTAAATAAAAGAAATGAGACTGTCATAAGGCTGTATGTTTCGTGACTACTTCCTGTAAAAAAACCAAACTTAGTTAAAGGTCTGGCTTAAATGGCCCATTGTGGATGCACAAGAACACAAGAACTGCCAAGGACTGTATAAAAGTTAAAGCTTACTTCAGTTTCTATAAGCTGAGCTGCTTTGTTTTCCCATTCCTGACAGATGGAAATACACCTCAGGCTCCTCATTATCCCTGTGGTACTGGGGATCCATGGGCTGGTATAGCAGTGGAGGATATATGTTCACCTTGCCTAAATCCAAGCAGGAGAGCAGGCAGAAGTTGGTGTTCCTCAGGCAGAACAACTGGCTCACCAGAGGAACCAGGGTTGTATTTATTGACTTCTCAACATATAATGCCAACATAAACCTCTTCTGTATCGTCAGGTGAGTTCTTACCTTTACTACATGTGAAATCCCATTTACTGAGGCATGATGCTTCCAGAAGGACACTAGGAGAGGCTGGTCACCTCAAGCATACATAGCCATGTTTCTTGGGTGGGAGCTGGCAAGACAGTAATTCATTAAAAATGCAGAAATTCAGTTACTGCAGGGAGCAGACCCAGATTCTTCCTTTCCATTTTTTGGTAATAGTTGGTGTCTGGTTGGTACAGCTGGTTGCTGCTGTCAGCTGGAATAGATTTCATAGCATTTTGAGGTCAAAGACTGGATTATTAGTCTTGTTATCAGATAATTAAGGGAGAAGACTCAGGGCAGGGTGAATGTCTGCACCTCTGAGACATAGTTTCTTTAAAGACTTTTAACCCAGCACCGTATCTTGGGTATCCCATTTTCTCCTCAGCCTTCCCTGCTATATAATACTCTTCTCATGTGGGACTTAGTGTAACCCTTACGAGAAGGTCTTACAGGCATAGGAGTCCCACAAGGTATTATTAATGTAGTAATAATTAATAGAAAATTAAGGTCTGAGGTGATTTTAAAGGGATGGTAACTTAACACCAGTCCCCATTTTTTTCCAGGTTGGTGGTGGAGTTCCCAGCCACCGGGGGTGCTCTCACCTCCTCACACTTCTACTCTGTGAAGCTCCTCAGATATGTCACATACACAGATTACTTCCTGGCTTCTTGTGAAATCGCCTTTTGCTGCTTCATCATCATATTCATGATCAAGGAAGCTATAAAAATGGCAAAACTGAAAAAGGAATATTTAAAAAATGCCTGGAACTGGCTGGAATTGCTGCTGCTGCTGGTGAGCTACTCCCTTGACTTTCAGCTTTGTGCTTGCCAGCCCAGGCTAGCACTGGATGGACAGCCAAGGAGCCAGACCAGCCCAAGTCTGTTGCTAGTCAGTCAGTCCCTCCTGTTGTACTCTGAGGAGAACACACAGTGCCCCACAGTTCAGCATGTAGGCCCATTTCTAGCCTTCCTCTCCACTTGCTGTGGCTCCACGTCCTTTCTACTCATGTTCCACCTTGGTCCCTCCTGTTGTACTCTGAGGAGAACACACGGTGCCCCACAGTTCAGCATGTGGGCCCATTTCTAGCCTTGCTCTCCACTTGCTGTGGCTCCATGTCCTTTCTACTCATGTTCCACCTTATTTGCTTTAGCCTTAATCTTTACAGAGCAAGGAAGCATGAGTGCATAACAGAGCTAGCCAAGTAAAACCAGAATGTCTGCAGCATGTTACGTGGCATAGTCCTAGAATCAGCACAGTACCAATGATTTGGCCAGTAAGGTCTCATATATATAATTTATGACAAACCATCTAAGCAGCTCAGGTTCTTGAAATAAAACCAAAGACCTTATAAAGTCAAAACAGATTTCCTGTGTCCTGTGACAAGTCTGAAGAGAGGGGATGTAGCTGGACTTGAGTTTCACTGGCTTCTCCTTTCCTTCAGGTCTCCATCCTTGCCATTGCCTTCAACATCAACCGCACTGTCCACGTGTCCCTGCTGATGCAAGAGCTGCTGTCTGATGCCTACGTGTATCCAGACTTCTATTTCCTTGCATTCTGGCAAGTCCTTTATAACAACATGATTGCTATCAGTGTCTTCTTTGCTTGGATAAAGGTATTGGGTTTTACTTCATTTTTTCATAATTGAAAATCATAATGTTTCTAAGCACAGCATAAATGTTGTTCTGCCTTTTCATGGGTGAACTGCAGAGGTGGGAGTAAAGAGGAGGATTTTGTTTATGAGATTCCAGAAAGTTTCACATTACCTCCTTCTCATAAACATGGGTTACACAAATTCCAAGCCCATCCAAAAAAAGATTTTTGCACATGGGCAGCTGTCTGCATTGGAGCAGCTGGGAAACTACCATGGTCAAACAGCCTCCTCAGACTTAGTGTTTTCCTAGGCCAAATATTACCCAGGTCACTGCCTGACCTATACAGATGGTGTGGCTGTCACAGGTGAAGCCAGTCACAGCTTTTGTATCCAAAAACTGTGAGAACTAGCTACTATTTAACTGCAGAGGAAGGCAAAATGTGTTGGAACTGGATTCAGAAGTGGCTTTGTGCATGGACACCTTTAATTTCTTTGCAAATAGATTTGCTGACGTCTGGCCAGAGTAGCAAGCTTCTCACAATTAGGCTACTTGTGTTCCTAACCAGGTGCTCTGGGGCCAATCCAGTCCTGCATGTTTGCCCTGGCTGTGGTCTGCACCCCTTCCTCTCTACCCAGCAGACATCAGTGACTTCAGTTTGGGTTGCCTCAGTGCTCCCAGTGACTGGATGAAGCTTCCCAAAGCTTTGCCTGATCCCAGGCTGCTTACAGGCCTTCTCTCCCCTAAGATATTTGTAAAATGCCCAGCACAAAGTGGCTGTGGAACAGGCAGGGAAGCTGTTCACATCTGCCAGATCACGCTTTACAGTCATGCCCCAAGCACCTGAACACAAACATCGTGAAAGGTCATGTCCTTTCAAAATACACAGGCTCTTGGCCTTCCTCCACCTCCCAGACCAAGGCTGGAGGAAGAAGCTGTTTGGGAGCAGTGGCAGTTAACAGGTCCTGTGGACAATCTTCCTCATTACATCCATTCTGTATCCCAGGTGCACATTCCCCCTGCATCATCCTCCCCTTGGACTGGACTTGAATAGCACAACAGTGTTTATAATTAACGATTTCTCATTGAGCAAGGCTTTTGTTCAGGCCTTGTTCCAGACCGAGAGTAAAAGAGAGCCCCTTACCAACTCAGGCCAGCAGAGAACCCTCAGATACAGGAGGCTGGTATGACTTGCAGTCTCTTTGACCAGAAGTCCATTTGTGCCAGAGCTGATGATGCACTGGGGCCCAGCAAAGGCCTGTCCACACACCAGCAGCTTTAGCACAAACATATTTACCCTGTGGAATATTTATCTCCTCCAGAAACACACCCAATCCTAGTTCCCCTTACAGATATATACTATGCAACGTACTGGTAGGTAAGACTTAACTCCTAAGTTATAGTTACAGATAACATTCCGGAAATTCTATTAATAAAAGTTGCAATATACTGAGATGCTCCAACAACAATACTTTCTGTTCTCTTGCAGGTATTTAAATATATAAACTTGAACAAAACCACATCACAGATGTCCTTCACATTATCTCACTGTGCCAAAGACATCATTGGATTTTCCATCATGTTCTTCCTTGTTTTCTTTGCCTATGCCCAGCTAGGCTATCTGCTCTTCGGGTCACAAGTTGAAGAGTTCTCCACTTTCCAAAACTCCATGTATGCTGCTTTCTAAACTTTTCCATACAAACCCCCCCCTCATTTGGTGCAGGTACAAACCAATTTCTGTTAAGCAGAACATGAGAGTACAGGTTGCCAACACTTTACCTTATTTCATAGAGGAAAACAAACAAACAAACAAAGCTAATTTTGCATCCACTTGGATGTGAGAGAGTTCTAAGGTATTGCAGTACTGAGAAACAAGTACTTGTCTTAGCTCTAGGAATAAAATGCCATGTAGGGGGACATAAGGACCTGTACTGTTACCTTCTGTACTAACAGAAAATAAGGAATCATAAAGCTAGAAAAGAAGGGAAATAATATAAGGAAAACCCCCAAAACAGCTGATTTATTAAAAATGCAAGTATTTTCTGATACATTTTAAAATTAATTTGTACTTTCAAATTCTCAAGTATATGCTAAGTGGCCAACTTACCAGTGCAGTATTATCCTGGCTTGCCTTCTGATTTCAGTGACTAAGGTAATGGTGAATCAGTCTCAATTGTATCTATTACTTTTCTTTTCAAATAATACTTACAATACTTCTCTTCAGGAGGAGCCAGTCAACCTCATTCTTGTATTTTTTACTCCCAGCTTTACACAGTTCCGTATGGTGCTGGGAGATTTTAATTTTGCAACCATAGAAGCAGTAAACAGAATCCTTGGACCTCTTTACTTCATCACATTTGTATTCTTTGTGTTCTTCGTATTGCTGGTAGGTATCACCTTAAAAGTGCTTCTCCTTTTGCATCAGTAGAGAAGAAGTGTTCTACAATGCTCTGAGACAAGGTGACAGGGCTGCCCCCAGCACAGCTGGGCAGAGGGACAGTCCCAACTCCTTTGCAGGAGTTCCCAACACACAAGGCAATTTGCAGCCCTCCCTCCCTCCAAACAGCCATCAAAGGGGCTTTTGTGCCTCAAAATGAGCACAGTGCACCTCCCACTCTGCTGCACCACCCATTTCTGGAGATTCTAATTTCTGAAAACTGAACCGGGTGCTCTTAAAGACTGCTTAATGGTGACCTTGTCTGGTAGGAAGGTTAAAGAGGGACTTTGGTGGGACTGTGTAGGTGCAACTTTATCAGTTATGTTTTCATTAACTACTTCAGATTGAAATGCCATCTGAAAAAGGTACAAGTATATGACAGGAAATCCATTGCCTCCAAGGCACTGGGCCTTTTAGCCAATACTGCAGATGAGAAAGAACTGATTTGTCTCCCAAAAATATTCCTTAAGACCCTCAAATTTAATTAATTTAATTGCATTAGGAGCATGTCTGCACCCAGTAAAGCTCTTCAATTCCATTTGTCACATGACCTAGCATGGAACAGCCCCCAAAACAACGGCCCCAGCATAATGCAACTGCAATTTCCAGAAACAAGTATCTAACTGCATCCTTCCTGTGCAGAGTATGTTTTTGGCAATCATAAATAATGCCTATTCAGAAGTCAAAGCAGAATTTAAAGTGATGCCTGGTCAACAACTGCAGATAAAAGACCTCATTAAAAAGGTAAGTAAACACTTCTGTAACTACTCATTGAATTCAGGAGAAAAGAAGGAGTTCTGAGCTACATCACTAGCACAGAGCCTTAAGCAGCTTAGGCCATAACCATTTCATATTTGATTATCCACATTAAATACACGTTGGACAGATAAAGAGACTTCCTTCCATCAAACTCACAGGAGCTCCAATAGTAAGAGCAGTGTTAGTTAGGGTGCAAGGAGCCTACCTTTACTTCACCCTTTTAAAAGCTGTATTTAAGGGCCAGCTGGTTTGTGATACATCCCATCAAAACTTTCTTCAGAGCTTAACTGTTGCTGTTCTTCCAGCCTGAGCAAACAAAGATCTCTGCATGGGAAGACAAGTAGAAACACGTATCTTTAAAATTCCAGAAATGAGTGCAAAAGGAGAACAAATCTTTCCCTTTTCCCTAACTTCAGTTAAGAGGAGGGATGGCAGCTAAATCTATCTGAAATTCTCCTGTAGGATTTTGTGAGCAGCATAGACACAAGCTGCAGTGCATCTGCAAAGCCTGGCTTTCATTAAGGAGGGGGGAAGGGGAGTTCCTGGCCAGGGTACAGCCAGTCTGGTCAGCAGCAGCACAGCTTAGGTTCTCCCATCCCAGCTCATTTCCCTACTTATTGTAGATTACAGTAAAATTAAACTGAGTATGCCTGAAAATGGAAACTCTTAGTGAATTTGGTTGGCTGTTACCCTCAGGGGTTTCATGACAAATTTGAGATAGAGCAGGATAAGTTCTCTGAGCTGAGCTAGGGGAATAGAGAGAGACTGGTGGGATTCCTGTTTAATTGCCAAGGTATTGTGCTGTTTTTCCCTTGTGTTCAAGTCCTTGTGCAAAAGTGTCTCTGGTTAAAGGCAAGTCAGTTAACATGCCTGACTTTCCTTGTCTGTGTTCAGAGTTGCCATAATGCCCTTGTCAAGGTCAACTTGAAGAAAGCAGCAGAGGAGAGCTTGGAAAGGTAGGATCTCAGCATTTGCTCTTACCCCCTGCACCAAGCACAGACCTATTCTCACAGGACTTCTGTCTCTCCTCACTGGTGTGAATGACAAGCAAGGAATTTTCAGCCACTAAAAGAAAGGATATTTTCAAGCTTTCTGATGGAGACATTACTGAAGAGGTAGGCTTTATTCTTTCCTATATTCTTAGAAACTGCTTATTGTTTCAAAAGTTGAGCAATACAGGAGGAGTCACAATTGTCCCCACCATTACTTACAAAAGCTTTCTCTACAGGATGCTAATTTTAACATCATAGGAATAGCAAAAGCTAGGCCTGTAAATAAATACAAATCAGTAATTGTGCCCAAAACTTCAAATGAAAGCTTGCTCAGACAAGGTCATACACTACAAGAGCAGAACTGGCAGTGGGGTGAGGCCAGTGTGTCTTACCAATGGTACAAAGTGGTGAGTTGGGCCCTTGCCCAAATGTTAAACAGAACCAGATGTATGGAAAACAAGTTTTACAGGAATATATTGGGTCATCAGCATCTACAGCAAAAAGAGAGATTACTGTAGCTTCCTTTTTGCTTTACAAAATGGTTTCCAGCAGTCTTTGGTAATTCCATATCTGGGATAAGCCAGTGCAAGTACCTACAAAACATGTATTTTAACATATCCCTTCTACAAGAAGAGAAGTCCTTTGGCTAGCTGTAAATGCTACTACACACAACATGGCCATCTCTCTCAGCTCTAAAAAGAAATGTACATTCCTATATCTTGTCTTTTTGGGAGGGCCAGAGGAAAACCTACTTTCAAATGGAGAAGTGAACATTTTTCTCCCCAGAGCTGCTTGCATGCCCCTTCCTTGCACAAGTGACTGCTTTACAGCTGTCCCAGTGAGCCATGCTGCCTTTGTCTGGTTTTTTGTTTGTTTGTTTGTTTGTAATCCCCTTGGTGTTGCATAGAGCCACCTATCAAATCTACAGAAAGGGCAAGAAGAGCTCAGTCAGAGTTATGCATCTGCTGAGGACATAGACTCAGTGACATCTCAGAGCTATGTCTCCACTACAGAATTTCAGTGGTGAGTACGAGAGTCTGTTCTTGCAGTTCTATTCCCATCCCCAGGCAGCTACAGCCCAGCTGAGACCCTCACCAAGTGACAGCCTGAGAGACAGATCAACACAAAGTCAGTGATTTAACAGATAACTGCTCTTAGACTGGCTGACAAGAGCTGCCCACAGGGAAGGAAGAAGGAAATGAAAGAATTTAGTAGAGCAGTAATGTAAGGACATTAGTCAAGAATGAGGTGGGACAAGAATTTAAAATATTGACACTCTTCCAGAACATCTCCTTGTGGCTGCCCAGGGAGGGGGGACAGAGACTGTAACACCTTGTACCTGTGAAGGGGTATTTCAGGACTTGCACCCTTGGCAGCTGACACAAGCAAGCAAAGAGGATGATTGCAAGTGCCAAGTGTAAGGGCAGAGTCATCTCAAGGACATGTGGTTTTATTTGTGTGTTCCAGGCTCCTCAGGTACACACGGAAGCTGGGGATGGAAATAAGTAATGCTAATGCAAAAATCAAGAATATTACAAAAACCATGCAAAAACTGACAGATCCTTCAAGAAACATGGCATGAGCTCATCTGGTAACAGAGATGGCCTGACTCTCCACACTGTTTAAATAACTCCCAAGTCCTCATCCCACCCCAACCCTTTGTTTGTTTCTATTTGTA